TTCCCATGACAGCTGCGGTCAAAACAGTGAGGTGAAAACCCTCAACCCATATACTGTACATTAGATTAACAAGTTTGGAATTAGTGGGGCTGGAACATGGGGGTTTCATGTCTGCGATAACTTTTCACTTATCAATGGACAAGAGACCTTTGGAATATTGTACAGTACCCTAATAGGATGTGCTGGATGGCAGTTTAGTAAGTCCACTCTTCAATGAGGACCTATGTAGCTGCTGCTTTAGTTAGCAGTTACCAGATGGCACTTCAGGGCTGCTTGGCTATGTAGTGTTGAAGATTTTTTCTTACTCTAGAACTGGCTCTAGATGTTTCGTATGATTACTCCCTATGGGGGCTACAAGCTGAAGCTTATTTATACCTCCTACCTCTAGGCATAATGTTATAGAGGATGGATTGATATTGAGATCTTCATTTTATACCGGAGTCAGGGTAGAGCAACTAAACATCCCTCTCTCCTGCCTTTGAGGTGCTAAGGTAAGTTGGATCTAATGACTAAACTCTCATGACATCATTTTGTAAATGTATAAACAAAAGCACTTCAGAGCATATGGGTTTATGCTTGGCAGTAAAAAATCTATTCTAGGGACCCTTAGGGTACCTTCATGATGAGTGTCTCTGGAATTGGATGTGAAGGTTTGGTTTGGTAATGGTTTGATTTTCAGATTTATTTTAATTTTAGATTTCCATCATATCTTGAGGCCAGGCGTTTGGGGATGAGCCCCCTGGACTTGTTGGCTATACTGTAGAGAGTTGTTTTATTCTGGCTTTCGTATAAAATGGGATTTTAGAAAGAATCCACCATTTTCCTCTATAATGCTGGAATCAAACAGGAACACAGTCATTCATTCTTATTGGTGTAACATGTGCTAAACTTTGTTATTTCCCCTTTCACATTTTAGCCCACATCATCATCCATTAACGGCACATACATCCTCAAAGACAGCCGAGTCTCGTGCTCTCTGGTCTTTCCTGCATGTTACTATTGCTACGTATTTGAATGTCCCTCCTTTTAACTTCTAGAAGTGATAAATTTTTGTGTGTGTAAAACAGAACTACACTGTTCTAATTGCAGTTTTTTCACTGCAGTTAATTTGTTTTAAAATTAAAAAAAATACATTTAAGACTAATTATTCTTTATATACGATGAAATATGAAACTTATAATATGATCATGATACAATATTAGACTGATATTTCACCAGTGAAAGATTTTTTAACTGAGGCTATAGGCAACTATCTTAGTGTTGATCTTTAAGTTTTGATCACTAAATTGCAGAATTGGATTTTATTCGGGTTTTATTTATTTATCATACAGGAATATAAAATTATACATTATTAAATCGTTAGGTACAGTGTACATCAATAAATGAACTAAAATAAGACCACAACACACAGACTTAAGATATTTCTTGAAAGTATACAAAAGTTACGTATGATTATTGATAGGCACCTGTCATTCCTTACCGGGTAAGTGTCCATGCTGACTGGGAACTTTTAATGTGTCATTGAAAATTTGGCCCAAGCTTCTTCCTATTTTTTCTTTTGCTGTTTTCCTAGCTGACATATAGAGAGGTCGTAGTAAATGTGTGTGTGTGTGTGTGTGGACTAACTTTTACCTGAGTAAATATGGTACAAGGTGCAGTACAGTATACATATTACATAATGTATCTTGCAGAGTACTGTATCACATTTTCTTGATCCCTTCTCTATGGGAATGCCACTTTCAATATTTTATTGGGCAAATGCTAGACCCTGTACACAAGGGAAAGTAGGTTTTGAGGATTATAAATTTTGGACATTAATTTATTCATTAAGCTTTCCTCTTCGAGTTTCTTTGAGGAATCGCTTCTGAGCAGACTATTGTACAGCACTAAAACTAAGGTTATTCACCAAGTCTTGATAGAAATTTTAAGGGAAATTTGATGTGACTGTGGGTCACAGGGATTGCAGTCATAAACTACAGTGAACAGGCAAACTGTGGTAAACATACAGTGCTGTACATTTTCGTTTAGAAATTTATCATTATGTCAGGCCCTCCCTGTTAATGATATACCCGGTATATTACAGGGTGGCTGCAACCAAGAGTAAACACAAAGTCTTGTCTGTCATCCATTTTGGGTCTCAAGTGGCTGCGAATAGCCAAATCCGCAAATATCATTTCTCCTTAGGACAATTACTGTATTTCTTTTACCTGTATCACATACAAATAATCAGAAACAAGACAACAAAATGTATTGAAATGTAGAAAAAATGTGAGTCTACCCTCAAGTCAACTCCATGCTTTGTTATTAAAGTTGAGTTGGTTGGGTTGGTATACGGCAATTCTTTCCTCGTAAAAATTAGTCTCGAGAACGAATGGTATCTGAGTGTCAGCTGGGTTGATACGTAGATCAAAGTTACAGAATTTCTTTCGTAGCCATCTAGCCAACCCAACAGGAAGGATGTTGGTAATTGTGGAGTAATACTGTACACTTTTTTCACAATATGTATGTAGGATGGTGTGTGCATGTAACTGAGTAAAAATACATGAAAAATGTTACGTATATCTACTACCTGAAAATACGAGTTGAAAAAACCCCATAATACTTCACAGCTTGGCCCAGTAGCCTGGTGGTTACAATGATGAGTTAATCTAGCTACAATGCCATGATTAATCACTCTTAAGCACTATTCTATCAGAAGACACTATTAATTACAGTAAATCCAGTGAAATATGGCCGCAAAATGCCGGCAAGTTTAAAACTACTCACAGGCATTCTTGGGCACATCCAGGGTGTCATCCTGGAATAAATCAAGGACTGTGAATTTTAAGGGCAGGTTGTATTTTATTTTTATTTTATTTTTATTATTTATTTTTTTATTTTTTTTTATAAAATGAATTTAAAGTTTTTCTAATGTCAAAGAAATCAAAATTTTGTACCCAGAACCATTGACCTGTCTGTAACCTTACAGTACTGTACTGTACAGTACTGTGAACTTGGAAGTTTGAAAAATTATAAAATTTCAGTACATTTACTGTGTTAGATTTTGGTGTCTTAAAGAATTTCATTTCTTTCATTCGATGTGTATTAAAGATCTCCAGTAGAGTAATATGGGTACATTTATCTATGAACAGTCTTACATTTGCAGTAAAGTAGTAACTTTTTAATTAACTTTATAATGAAAGCACTGTCACTAAAAGGAACCTTTAATTGGATCAATCAATACTGTTATGTTTGGAGTTTGTTTTGTATCATCAAAGACATTTACTGCTGAATGTGATGATGTAATTAGTCATTTTATATCAAAAGAAAGTATTTTTCATATGAACTTGTTGATTGATTAATGTGAGCATTTGGTATTATTGTTTAAGGTCTTTGCTCGTTTGTTAATTAATGTCCCATTATATTTTCTTAAATGTCTTTAAAGTTGAACAAGGAAAAAATAGATATGTTTCTGGTTACTGGGTTGAAAAGAAATGTATTACTGTACTACCTGTGATATTTTTGTCTCTAAATTCACTGGTATTTGCAATATGTTGCATGAATTTGCTACTTTAATTAGTGCATAGAGGATATTAATCTAGTACTGTATTTTCACCTCTTAAATTATTTATTCTATGCCCTGTAGTTATATGAAATGGTACAAAAAATTACCTTCACGATTTTTAGGTGTATGAAAACTTGAGGGTCAGAGGCCCAAAATAATCTGTCATGTTTTTGGATACGCACCCATTCATATGTTAAAGTGAAGTGTTAGAAACTTGTGGTATGCCTGAACCAGTGAGCCTTACCTCAGTAGAGTTGTGTGGTATAATGGAATGGTACACTTCATCCTCCTCTGGTAAACTATAACAAGTAAACTGGTGTTTTTGGTTTTCATTTTGCCCAGATGCCAGCCTTATTGATCAATTAACTGGATGTTTGTTATGGATCAAATTGTTCTGGAAACGAAATGCTCACAATAGAAGAGCATCATCTTGGCCCTGGTTACTTTCTAACCATTTTCTGTTCATTTCATCACTTAGAGTACCAGTAGATAAGTTTGTCCCATTTATTTAATATTTAATGTACAGTGCTGTACATATACTGTACTGTACCATGATTCCCCTAACTCTTACACTCTCCCCCTTCATTTGCACAATTGATGTTAGAAACAGAATGCAGGAAGGACCAGGGTCACATATCCACTAACATTTGGAGACTTAAAGTTTGTGTATACAGGTAGGGGAGTGCTTCTCCTCTACCTCGAAGAATTAAGAACTCTTTAGGAAGTGTGTTCCCTAAAAACAAGTATGTAATCATATTTGTTTTTTATACTGAGTCGGTCATGTTTTATTCTTCATTAATGAATGATGTTTCTTCACCTAAATCTCATTTTTGTTTGTATAATCACTAAAATTGCCATATCTTCGAAAATACAGATATACCTGTAATGTATTGGAGTTTTTTGTGCAGTAACTGAAAAGGGATGCAAGATGTGTATTTTATAAATAAAAAAGTTATTGTTAGGTGCACTGTGAGTCAATATACATTAGATGCAAAAAAGACCTGATTATGATATGGTATCTTTAACCACTCGCCCTCTTGTAATTTGATGACCGATTTTGAGCACTGTGAGTGTAATGTGGTACGTAGGTTCAAGGTCTGCCACGGAGAACGGTTATTTGGTTAATAAAGAAATACTGTACTGCACTGGTACCTCAATATGCTCATTCTAACCTTAGTATTGTTGGTAACTGTGAATGAGCAGGGTATGATGTTATTGAATATCAGATTTGTGGCTTTTTAAAAAGTGATATTGTACTGTACTAGTATTTTGGAATGCTATACTGTATATGCATTTAAGTGGCAGGACATTTAACAGAATTGTAATTTTTCATACATTTTGTTTACATGAAGTAAAGTACAGTACCAGAAAGTAAGATATGAAAACCTGTATTTTTGAAGATTATTAAAATTGAATTTTTGTTGCATACTGAAAATTATCTTCTTTCTTCACACAGGAGCCGGCGAATCAGGGAAAAGCACCATTGTGAAGCAAATGAGAATTCTACATGTCGATGGATTCAGTGAAGAGTAAGTAACGTTTTATAATGTTCATTTATTGAAAATATTAGCTACACTGGGTTTTTTAAATACTTCATTTTAACATTGTCACTGACCATGAGGGGGATGTGAATTCTGACCTTGACTTCAGTATGGGGTTGCAGCATTCTCATTTTCATCAAAAACTATTCACCACACTCCTCCCATTCCGCTCGACCTGGGATAGTATTCTTTGCCATCAGATCATAAACATTGGGGTTGATGTACAGGTAAACCTCAACTTCATTTTGATACTGAGGCAACCACATTTCATTAATACTGTATTTTTGTGTACAGTTATACAACAATGATCTTGTGTAGTTGTGCATCACTTCATTACAGAAAAAGTACATACGTAGACCTCATCTTTACATCTACAAAACCCCGTGATTACTACCTTTAGTGAAGTTCCCCAGCTTTTAACTTGGTTGCAGCTGGACATGAAAAATTCTTCCTTGTGGAGGAATGCCAATACTCAACAGAAATGGAGACTATGACACAAGGCAAGGATGAGTGGATGAGGGAAGAAAAAAGATAAGGAGGGGGAGTTGGATATATTACTCCCTCCATACAATTTGATATAGAAATAGTGTAATGCAGAAAAGTATTTTACAAAATCCCCTCCTCACTGTATGGTTACCATTCACCACAAAGGATAGCTGTGTGTAGGGCATCAGTCACTAGACACTCAAGGTCTTCTGCTAAACAACTGATCGAAATTTGCAGCTTTTGTGTAGTGTCCTTTACTTCAAAAATTGGTCCACACTATTTCTGTAATGCATAACTTGGGAGGAAGTCTTTTGGTCCTATGGTACTGGCACACCTACTAAGTGTAAATGTGTTTACTGTTGTTGATATTTACATGAATTTCTCAGACTGACACTGAGATATCATTACATTGGTACTGCAAAACTTCTTACTCATCTTGCATCATTTGACCTGGAATATTTTTCTTCTATATCAGGCTGTCTACCATTTGTTGGATGTGCATCCAACTTGCAATATTCACTTCTACCATTTGAGATACATTGCAGCACATTATGTTACTCTTTGGTACCACCAAATGATCAGTTTACATCTTAGGTACCTGTACCAAGATCAGCAATTAGTAATGTTTTTTTTTTATTAGTCCACAAAGCTTTTTGACTGCAGCTATCTTTGACACGATTTAACCTTATGATATTTGTTGGTTTAACCCCTTTGGCACCTGGAGGATTCACGAAGCTGTAGTCTTAATAAAGGGTAATGGAAATAGGTTTTAGCTCTTTGGGTCTTGAAGGTTTCTCTAAGCTTAATAAAATTGTCAGGTGGTAGCCAGAATAAAATTCTAAGGTGACACAATAGGCAGGAAAGGGGTAAGTTACAGTACTTGTACTTGGTTAGGGGGAGAGGAGTAAATTTATATATTTTTGATATCCTAAATTGGTGGAAGTGTTCATAATGTTTCAAATATATCCTGCACATAATGTGAAGATGTATAATTTTGTCATTGGCATCAAATATAAAAAAAAAAAAAGGACATATGATGTGCTGTAAAAACATTGAAATTTTCTTGGCTGGAAATTGGCCTGGGGGATCTGTTTGTTTAGAAATTACTTTGGCATCCATTGATGTGTATGTACTCCAGGACTGTTGTCAAAAACCTTGGTTAAACCCATAAATGTGCATTAGCTACTTTAATCCTCTTGGTCTTTCGACGCAAATTGCATCACTAAGTGCTCCCATGCTGGCGCATTTAGTGGACTGGCCGTATCAATCACCTAAGTTCCTTCTACTAGCCTTGTGGACTGGCAGATGTGTCTCTTGGGGTGTAACTTGGGTCTAGATCACTCTACCGTTCCTTTTACCGATGCAACCTGTGTCGAGAGACTGAGGTGTTGAGATTCCAACCATGACCAAGAGTACCAGGGAGTTAACACTATTCATTATAATATAGTGCCTTAGGGCCTCTGTATAGGCTATCTGTGATAGTATGCAAGTACAGAAGTGTAATAAAGATGTTTTATAATTTAGTTTGGATGATCTAGAACATCTGATTCAATATACCAGTACTTATTTTGAAATTTGTTATCACTTGCTTGAGGTAAGTGCCAAGAAGTACCATAGCTATAAGTGCCAATAGTATAGATTATTGACCTATAGGTTTTGTTTTCTGTCATTTGGTGGGAGAGGACCTAAAACTGGTTTACTTCTACAGTATACATCCTTGTGCCATACATCTGTGTGTTTGCACTTACTAACTGCCCAAAAAAGTATTCATTAATTTGAGAACACATACAGCTAGTGTTGTTACCAGGCACAATGAGTTTCTCGGGTGAGTTTGATAACCATTGTATTCTCTGATGGAAAGAGATTAAGGCCAATCTTGTTTCTCTGCAGGTGTGCATTGTACAGTACATGGTGAATGAGATAGTTTTAATTGAACATATTTGATAAGACTTGGTACAGTGGTCCCTCGGTTAGCGAAGCACAATAAGTTTAAGATTAACCTGAAACCATTGTTTCAATGGTTTTGGGTAATTGGTTCCAGCAAAATTCTTTAGTTGAAAGAGTCTCAAGCAAGATGTTACCTCATAAACAAAGAACTGGCGCCTGTTTGAGCTGGATGCATGAAACTAGTTTCTTCAGATTATGTTCTAATTGTTAAAATTACTAAAAAATATTAACTAGCTTTTAAATTATTGAGTAGTATAACTTCTTGATATTTACTAAAATAGTAAAATTTAAGCCCTAAAACCGATTACTGTATTGGCGGACTTATACTACAGCTGGTGGACGCCAAATTAAAATGTTGGTGGCTCGTAAAAACTCCGTTAATCGAGGGATTGCTCGTTTACCGAAGTTAAGAATCTTATGGAAGGTAACTCGTTAACCGAAATTTCGTTAACCGAGGCACTCGTTAACCGAGGGATCACTGTACATGGATATAACCCCCAGATCTCTGATGAGTTCAGCAATTTAAAAATTTCCCATTTTATTCCCTCTGGCAGGGGTCTGGATCTACTGGATACTCTTCATGGCAAAATTCATTAGATCCAAGACATTGCCATAGGGAGAAAGAGCGAGCCCCACCCTCCTTGACTCCTTCCTCTATCCTTCAACATCCGCCCACTTTCTTCCACCACTCATGACTCTTCTCATCTACCCAATACAGTACGTGGTACTTCTTCTTCTTCTGTCACCAGCAGTACCACCTTTACTTACTTTAAATAGGCCATATTTACCACAACTTCCAAACGCCTAGTACCATCACTTCACTTACTATATTCTCGCCTGCATCTTCTACCCCCACCTACTACCATCCCCACCACCCCCTACTACCCCTGTCATGACTCCCATTCCTACATCATCCTCCATCCCCACCACCTACCTCCTCCATTACTACCATCATCCCCAACCCCACCCACCACCTAACATTAAGCAATCACCACCTTCTACCACCACCCCCACTTCCCTAATACCATCTTACCTAATACCATCACCCACCCTAATACCACCCCACCCTGATCCACCCCACCTAATACCACCCCCACCTAATGCCACCCCCACCTAATACCCACTATTACTAATACCATCCTAATACCATCCCCACCTAATACCATCCCCACCTAATACCACCCATACACCTTACATACTTCCCCCTAATACCCCCCATCCCCTATATTACCCCCATAATACCTATTCCCCCACCCAATACCACCCACCTAATACCCCCACCTAATACTACCCCACTAATTACCTAATCCCCCACCTAATTACCCACCACTTACATAATACCACCCCCACCTATGCCCCCACCTATTCCACCCACACAATACCACCACCTTACCTAATACCCCCACCTATTTTACCTATCACCTATTCACACATCCCCATAATACCACCCCCACCCTATACCACTACCTATTACCCCCACCTAATACTGCCCACCTAATGCCTATTCCACCTAATGCCACCTTCCTCACCTAATGGCTCCCCACCTAATGCCGCACCCTACCTAATGCCCCACACTAAACCAATCCCACCTTTACCCTATACCATTTCCCTATTGTTACCCCCACCTAATACCCCCACTAATACCCTCCACCCTAATTCGTCCCTATTAATACACTAATGCCACCCTAATGCCACCCTTACACCAAACCTTTTACCTAATACCACCCCACCTAATACCACCCCCAGCCTATTCATTACCTCTCCACCTAATACCATCCCCCACCTAATACCATCCCCACCTAATACCATCCCCCACCTAATACTATCCCCCACCTAATACCACCCCCCACTATTATACCTAATACCCCACCCTAATACCCCCACCTAATACCCCCACCTAATACCACCCCACCTAATACCACCCACTAATACCCACCCCCACCCTAATACACCCCCCCACCTAATGCACCCCCCCTAATTCCACCCCACCTAATAATCCCCCCACCTAATACCACCCACCTAATACCACCCCCACCCTAATACCCACCCCACCTAATACCATCCCTACCTAATACCATCCCAACCTAATACCCCCTAATACCATGCCCCACCTAATACCATGCCCACCTAATACCATCCCCCTAATACCACCCCACTAATACCACCCCCCACCTAATACCATCCCCACCAATCCCACTAATCTACCCCACCTAATACCATCACCCCACCTAATACCATCCCACCTAATACCATCCCCCACCTAATACATCCCCCACCTAATACATCCCCCACTAATACCTCCACCCTAATACCTACCTAATACCACCCCACCTAATACCACCCCCACCTAATACCACCCCCCACCTAATACCACCCCCCCACCTAATACCCCACCTAATACCCCCACCTAATACCACCCCCACCTAATACCAACCCCACTAATGCCATCCCCACCTAATACCATCCCCCACCTAATACCATCCCCCACCTAATACATCCACCATCACCATCTAATCCACACCTAATACCCCACCTAATACCACCCCCACCTAACC